AGGCAACGTTGCCCCGATCGCCGGATCGGTCCTCGCCCCAAGCTCCCTCCTTCGCATACTTCTCGGACATCCGTACCATCTCGTTGGGACTCCACTCGGCCGAGTCTCTACGGCTTCCTCCGCTTCTGTAAACGACGTTCGATTCGGTCTCGCGGGGACCGCGATACCCCGAACTTGGCAGTGGTGACGGAGAATAGCTGTCGTAAACGGGATTGCGCTTCATCGATGCACGCTGGTGACTCGTCTTTCTCAGCATCGCCTGTTAGAGCGAACGTTAAACTTTACGCTCCCCGTTCTCCTATCGAGGATCAACGAACGCGCTGCGACATCTTACCTGGAAGTTGAACGGTGGGTCGTCGGTGTCCTCGTTGCCTTCGTTGTTATTTCTACGACCTATCATCTGCAATTCCTGGATCGGGTTGATGCTGTAACCAATGGAAAAGCGGTCACGTCGTTTCAGTCGTCGCAGAAGCGTTTAACACTAGGTTTACGTCAATTCGATGTATATTGAATTTTATAAACGTTATTTGATAAATCTTTTCATCGATTTTGATCGATGCGATTATATACGATTATATACCCCAATTATCTACGTTTAAATCTCTACGTTTAAATCTCTGATTTCCAAGATACAGATGAACGAACATCAGTTTTCCTAGGGACGATAGAATAAACTGTTCAATAAATGTCCGTAAACCTAGCGTTGATTTACGTGTGCATCGCGGTCAAACCGATTAGGGTTGCCAGTGTTCTTGTTCATTCGATCCTCGAATTCCCAATCGTTGCTGCCGGTGGTCACGTTGCTTTTACTTCGAGTGTTCGTGCTGTAATGGTCGGTGCCACGGGGCGGGGGTGGTTGCGTCTGATTGAATGGAACGGGTGGTGGTGGTGCGTTTTTTCTAGAGCGTATCGACCCGGTGCTATCGTAATCATTCTGAAAAGAGTCGACCGATGATCGAAGAAACCTTTCCGAACGGATTCGCCCGCAGATCGGGGAAGATCGCGCAGGACGGAAATTCGGATAACTTACTGAGCGAGGATTATGAGCGTTAGCTGATGGCGCGGGACTACGGTTGCTCGAAGAAGGATGTTGGAATCCGGAGTTACCCATTCTGCTTCCGGACGTTTTTTCCGGCGGACATCGGACCGAGGTATTCGGGTCTCTGGAAAACGGAGTGTCGATCAGACTCTTTCCCTCGGTGCCCGTATGCGCCACTCGGTGTGGCGAGTTCGTCGTTTGCACCTCGACGTCTGAAAAATGCAGAGCAATCCGATTGGAGAGGCGTGTTCTCTCCGAGGACAAACCAGACGTCACTCGAAAGAATCGATCGTTATCCACTTACTATTAATGCGATTACACGATCGTTGTCCACTTACGGGTAACATACGACCGGAAAACGGGACAAAGATTCTGACGGCAACGTGACACGAGTCGGACGAACCGTGTACAGGGTGGCGAATTCTTTCGGGAAACTTGGAAAGAAACGAAGTGTAATTCCCATTGTTCGTTCGAGAGACGCATTCGAGGAACCCGACGCGGTCCGTGTTTAAATTCGATCCGACTCGGTCACGTTTAAATAGAAGGGAAAGAGTGTGATTGTCGAAGTTTAAGGGAGAATGGCTGAAAATTATTGGCGTTCTCGCGCGGGTAAGAGAGTCGTACGATTCACGGTTGTCAATGCCGCTGCGTCCTGACTGGATGAAACAAAACGTGATAGGCACCTCTGGTACGAGTGTTCCTGTTGGCCCAAGGCACCGTTTGTCTCCGTAATGGCGCGTCCCAGGCTTCGTGCTCGTCGTCAGACGCCAACGACGACGCGGATCTGCGAGAACGTATTTCTCAGTTGACGCCAGAAGTCTCCGGAAGAGGTCATAAGCGACTCTTACTTCGATAGAGACGGCACACAACGGAGAATGAAAATAAAAAAAACAACAACGATAAAATAGCCCGCGCGCAAACAAAAAGAAAATGGACATGGTACAAAGACGAAGCGCGTGGTAGAAAAAAACAAACAAAGCAAATAACAGTACAATCTGGATACGGTGCAACGCGGGCAAATCTATGCCAGGCTCGTTCGTCTTAAATTTTCGACAGGCGTCGTCGAGCGTTCCGTTTCTCGCGCGTGAAATGCACGCGTACGACGGGATTGCCGTGCGTCGCCGCAAACACGAACATATCTACGCGATGTCTATACATATAATTCTATACACACGCATGCGGAAATGAGAGATCAATGGTGGATGACAACTACTGCTTTACCAAGAACGATTACAGTCTTCTATCCGATCAACGTGCAAGACGTGTGGACGCGATAGGCAGGAGTACAATCAACTCACCCAAGACCTTTCATCCCTCTGGTGCTCTTCATGTCGAAATAGGGTAACTCGCTATAAAAGTTGAAAGGTAACTTGTGCACTTGGGGTGGTTTCATCTGGCCTAAGTACGACAGCGGTGAAACGTTCGGGTCGATCCGGTCTAGTGATACTCCATGTTCATTCGTCGCTTCGAGAGTCGCTATCATCGCTTGATTGAACAGGTGGACCTGTTTCGACGCGAGTTTCAGTCAAGCTCGTACGACACGATCGGATGAAACGCGTTTTATATGTGCTCTCGGAGGCTGAGGCGATCGCTTACTTGTTGCGAGAATTGCACGAGGTCTTGATAACGGGCTGCACGGTAACGTAGGAGGACTTGGAACATGCTCTTCGACCTCCATTTGCTGCTGTAGAATTTCATCATGTCCATCGTCTCCGGACTCATTTGAGACTTCCCCAGAAGGGGCGCCATCTCCTTTCTCACTACATGACCTCTGTACGCTGTTCCGCGGGGAATAGATATTATTAGAGATTAGAAATGACTAGATAGAGTCGGATCAACGACAGACAACTGAACTATTCATTGGCCAAATCGGTTAACTCCATTTCTTGAGGTTTTAATTTCATCGTCACTTGATTGATTCGGTTTAGTACTATCGGACGATAAGAATTCTTTTCTTCATGCGAAGATTGCATAATAATTACGGTTACTTCAAAGGTATACCGTTTTGTGCATTTCACATGTTCAACACAGTAAGCTGCATATATAATAATAAAATAAAATACTTGATTGTCCATTTAAAGGGACATTTGCAAAATCAATATACGCTGTTGCATCGCTTTCTCCTATCGTTCGTTTTGTGGAGCTAACTGACGCGGCTAACGGGTAGCTCAATTAACGCATGTATCCTGAGCTATCAGGCTCGCCAAAAATCAAGTTTCCGTTGTCACGCGAATCACCCCCTCGTGCGCCCTACCTTTCTGCAATATTAGCGCCGCGTCCTCCTCCGATATGTCCACCGTTTCCTTCCTCTTTAATGACGCTTGCTTCACTGAAACAATACCCGTTAAATTTCTCGTAGCGGACAAAAAGTGTACGAGCCTCTTGAAAACAAAAACACAAAGGGAACGAAGCGTCGCGACGGATAGGAGGATCGGCTCGCACTCAACGTTGCTGCCCTCGGCGACCCGTCTACCTACCGACTTCTCTCTTCGTTCCCGTGATCTTCGACGCCATGCTCTTTCTCGCCAGGAACGCTCTCATCATGCACTGCACCTTTACTATTTTTTTCACTTGGGTCTCGTACAATCTCGACAGATACTCCTCGTTGTAGTACTTCAAGAAGACCTTGGTCTTCCCGATCATCCAGCCCTCCATTTTCAATCGGATCAGCAGCAACCGGCAGTTGTCTTTCGTTATTTCAACGTTCTCGTCGAAGTCGAACGCGAGGAACTGGTACCTGAAACGACGCGCGACGCGGTGTAAACGACGAACCGGAGGACGCTCGGCGCGGCGATGATTACCTCCGGAGGAATTCCTGGAAGGATATTCTGCAAGGGTAGCCGCGTTGCCTCGCTTTCGCGGTGTCCAAAACGGCCAGCGCTCTGATTTGTTGCTTAACGACCTCCCTGTAGAAGCCGCGGGGCGCGCCTTCGAGGTCCGATCTTATGCACCTGACGAAATGGATCCCGCCGCTTCCGGAGCTCGACGAGAGGTTCTTCAGGATCTCGAGGCTGGTCGATTTGAATGTCGCCGCGGATGTTCTCATCCTTCGCGTTTGAGAGTATTGCCCTCGGGACGCGGTGTTGAATTTCTATTCCGAAAGAACAGTTGCCGATTCCCGTTCCTTTCCCGTTTCGAAAATAGAAGTTGCAACTTACCCTCGGCTTGGAGGTCTCCTGCATCAAAGCGCCCCATTTCCCTTTGCTCGTCTTCTTCTCCGCGACCTTCGGATGCTCCACGACGATCGTCACGTTCCCGGTCTTCGAGAGTTTGTTGGTGAACATCTCTTTGACCGGCACCAGGCTCGATTGCCTGAACGTCTCGATCATCTCCGGCGGCACGAAGTCTCGGTTCTTCTCGGCGATCTCGCTGGCGTCGTACATCACCTTTCCCGTGTAATGGGCGACCGTGAACTCGTGCGAGCTCACCGATTTCACGAAGAGATTGTTCGACTGTTGGTGTATCTTGGTCAGAATGTACTGATAATCGAGCACGTTCTTCGACGCCTGGTCGATTATGCTGAACAAACCCCTGTCCCTGCTCATCAGCTGGTCAATCGCGTCTTTGTTGTCGTAGAAGTGCAAGCGTTGCCCGGGTATGTCCTCCTCTTCTTGCTCTTGCTACGGACACAACGCGTCGCAAACGTTTTATACATGCTCCCTCTTCTTATAAGACTTACTTACCATTTCCCAGGCGAACACCCTCTGATTGTAATAGCACTGCATCTGTTCGTTGGTGGTGTTCACTATCAACTGCTCGAGCCGATTCACCGCGACGCACTCGAACCCGAACAGATCCATCACGTTGATGGCATACTTGTCGCCGCTGAAAGCCAGACGTACCGTAATTAAGCGGCCCGCAAATCCCCGATTCCAAGTCGAAACTCACAATAGCGCGCGCGTAACCGTGAACTTCTGATTGATAGTATTCACTATCCAGTCGACCAGCCGCTGGTAGATCGTGTTCGCCAGCATGTCCCGCGCCTCCCTCGCTTCCTCGCAGGTGTGCTTCCTGCGCACCACGCTGCCTTTCACGACCGCGCAGTAATTCACCAGCGCCCAACTGAACTTCTTCTCGTCGAGATTGAGCAGTTCGGCCACTGATACAGGAAAATTCGGTCAACGATTCTGCGAAAGAAACGGTAGCTCTGCTGAAATCGCTCTGCGAACCTCTGTTGGCCGGCTCGTTGTTGTCCATTTCAGCTTCGCCGTCGTTGCCCTCGACGAACCGAATTTCGCCCAGCATCAAGACCGCCGCCAACGTTTTCCAGATCGTCTCGCAGTACTCGTCCAATTCCAGGATCTGCAGATTCTCCTTGAGTTCGCCGAACTTCACCACGTTCCCCCGCGGGTCGTTCCGCACTTTGAAGGATCGTTTCCGTTCCGTCCCTTTGTCGCTGATGCGCAAATAGCGCGCCCTTCTTCCCGGCGGTATATGATACTGCTTCAATTTGCTTATCGAGTCCAGGCCGTCGTAGAAATAGTAGAATACGTGGAAATTCGATTGATTCCTGCGGAGAACGTAAAGCATTCCTCGTGACTGGCGCGCGTCCAATCGGTAAACACGCGATGAAAGCTACTGCCCCGCGACCCGGCGCAATCCTGAAATCTAATTCCCCGGCAAATTGCCGGTTCTAGTCGCGCGCAGCGTTCCCCGAAGTACCGGTGCGAGGCAAGGTTACAATTAGACCGCGGATTTTGCGCGTTTACAGCGTTTCCGATCCTCTGAAACCCGCCGCGCGGCGAACGGATTTTTCGTTGGCTCGCAATTCCTATAAATCGCCGCGTAAAGATCCGTATCTGCGCAGAGATCCGCGGTTCGACTTCTAATCCGTGCCCCGCGGGCGCGGGAACGGGCGTAAAATGCGATCTTAACCTGTCCCGTGTCGAAACACGCCATTTTTCCAGCTGGTACAACCAGAATATGCCGCCGGAAGCTTTCCCCGATGATCCGTAGGTGGTCTGTATTTGCAGTATGCATCTGGTCGAGTTAGGATTGAGGGGTGTGGCAGCGTTGCTGAACGCGTGGATCACCTTGATCGCCCGCAATAATCTCGACCCGGTGTCTTGTAGGCTCTGAAACCGAACGGACGTCCCGTGAGAAAGTCTATCCTCGCGGCGGAATTCCGTTTCGTTCGGCCGACGATGAAATTACTTTGCCGAGGTACATGAGATGTTGGATCAGGTGCAACATGTTCGTCGTCTTGCCGGAATTACTTTCGCCCGCCAATAGGATGTGCTGTATCTCCTCGTTGTGCATCACGTCCTGATAAGCGCTGTCGGCCACGGAGTAGATGTGCGGCGCGTTGTCCGACCGCGATTTGAACTGGTACTTGGTGTGATACTGCAACGAGAAACACGCGTTCAGTCCCACGCGACGGTTGCCGAACGACCGACGCTTACATCGGATCCGTAAATGTCCTGCTGTTCGTTCGGATTCAAAATCAGAAGAATGTCGCCGACGAAGCTGTGAAAGTAGCCCTGCCTCAGTCGCTCGTGGAGCTCGTCCAGGATCGCGTCCTCGGTCAACGTCTCGAGAGCGGCGATGTCCTCCATGAACATAGGTTCCAGGGGGTCGGTTTGATGCGTCTGCAGAAAAATTTGGAGATCGAAGAACAATCGAGTTGCACATTGGCGAAATCGGTTAACTCCGCTCCTTTGATTCTTCGAAAAGCCGATGTACGTCGTCGCACCGTGTTTCTCTGCTTAACGTTTCGCGGAGGTAACCGATTTCACCGATTACAGGAATCCGTCGTGTTCGTTGACTTAAAAACGGTACCTTGAGGAAACCCTTACGAATCAGCACTTCCGCTCTCCTCTCGAGTTTACCTTTCGGGCAGGCGTCCATCATCAACACCTTGAGCTCTTGCGTCAGCTGAAAATCAGTGTTTCAGTTCGTCTTTTCTCGTTCTCGGTCGCGTGACTTTATGCGGATCGTTAAGAAATCTGAGGAGATTAGAATCGAAAACCTACGAAGCGTTCATAGTTTCGCAGTCTAGCTGCTGTATTTTACCAAGTAGTCGTTGTCGGGGAGTTCCGACAAGAAAGGGTGCTCCACTATTTCCCCCATGAACGGTCTGTTATCGGGATTCTTCTCCAAACATCTGGAAGAGCGAAGAACGGGGCATGGAGCAAACGTTGCAATCTTATCGTGGCGAGGGCTATCGGGGATGAACGTACTCTGCGATGAAGTCGTTGAAGTTCTGCGTCCAGTTCGACGGTCGGTACAAGTTGGGCGGTGGATTGCGAACGATTTGAAAGAGAGCTCTGGTAGGGTGCATGTCTTGGAACGGCGGCTTTCCGTCGGCCAATTCGATCGCGGTGATCCCGATCGCCCAAACGTCGGCTCGATTCCCGTACCCGCCGCTGTTCTCCTTGCTGATGGCGACTTCCGGTGCCATCCAGCAGGGCGACCCCACGCAGGTGTACCTCTTCCCCATCTCCCCTTGGATCATCCTCGAGAGCCCGAAATCGACCAGCTTCACTTCTCCTTCCTTGGTCAACAAGATGTTGCTGCCGCGTATGTCGCGATGCATCACGTTGTTCTCGTGCAGGTACATGACTGCCTGAGGAACATCGCGACTCGTTAGAGATGCATTTCATTAAGAGCGGAGCTGTCGTTGCACGATCCGTTGGATACAGATCAGGTAGCCACGAGTAGGTTGCCGTATCGGGTAATTTCTAAAGGAAACGAGCTACAAATGTTCACAGCGGGAATTAATTAATGGAACGTATTGAACGCAACTCGGAGTATTCGAGTCTCTCGCTGTTGGCAGCAGAGTTACATAGTATCGGTATCGGTTTCGTCTTCGACCTCCGATGAAGCCGACCGCAACGAAGGCGAAACGCGATAATTTTCCACGATTTACACCCGATAGCTTCGGTCTAACGCAACGGACGTTTAGTTCAGCGAACTAATTCGTTGTTGCGAAAGGTTAGCAGGGTAGAAGAGAGGGCGAAGAAGAAGAAAGAAAGCCCGATCGGGCAGCCACGGTCCGGCTTTCTTCTCTCCAGGTTTCCCTTAGCCGCGATTTCGCCGGCGGTAGACACACCGGTGCCTCGTTCCTCGCCAGCATTTATTTCGCGTGTAATTTGCCGGCATTAAACGTCAACGTGGCCTGATTTACCGCACGAGCGACCGTGGACGAATCGCTACTGGGTCCGTGGAACACGTACCAACGCGAACGAGAAAGAGAACTCCGGTCCAGATGAAGCAGGAGAAGGAGCAGACGAAGAAGAAGAAGAAGAAGAAGAAGAAGAAGAAGAAGAAGAAGAAGAAGAAGGGGTTGCGTGCACTTTACGAGGAAAGATGCTGGGCGAGCGAAGGGAGAAAGCCGACGCAACGGGGGGAGGCAGCGGCGGAACGGAGAACGCGAGAACTGCGTGCGCGTGCTATACTCGAAAACGTGGCCTCACGCAATGATTTAGCGACAACCTGGCCGCCGCGCGAGCGGCTTTACCGCGAGGAGAAAATGCGGCGATGTTCCGCCGACGGGTTCGCTTTCGGGTCAAAGGCGGCGTGTCTATGAATAAATGCATCGGCGGCGGTCGTTAATGATCGCGGCGCGGACGAAAACGGCGGGACGACTTCCGGGGAAAACGTGCGCGATGCTCAACAGGTTGGCTCGTCGATTCGATCCCCTCGCGATACGTCGATCGAAAGTCGATAAGTCGACGGGTACCGCTACCGGCGCGAGCTACTGGCGGATATAGACCGAGATAGAAGGAAAGCCCTCGCTCCGAGCGCGGCGGGATTCAAGGGGATCGGGTTCGCGGAGTTCCCACGGCGAAGATAATTAGCAGAACCCATCGATTTTACGCGGCTCCAGCGTTTTTGCCGGGATGCCGAGGTACGAACCGCGAGCGAGCGACCGCGGATCCGCAGTATCGGGCCGACCGGAAGGGATACGGGGCACGACGCACGATTCGAAACGGAAACGAGCGGTCTACCCTCGGCGGCGTTCAGGTTGCGGCAGTTGACGGCTAAATGACACACCCGTCCACTCCGGTCCATGGGATTTTTTTCCGATCGTTTCCTCTTATTCATTCCCATTCCGCGGGTTCGCGTTGCGGCTCGCGATGGTTGCGCGACCAACGGACGCGGTCTCGTACGATATTACGGTAAATTATATTCCGCGGGGACAGAGGACGGTATTACAGAACATTATCTCATTGTATCCGTGGAATCGTTTCTCTGTTGAAATTACACGGCTCGGGGCGGGAAACGTTTGCAATTCGCTCGCGTTCCGATTCATTTGCCTGGGACTCGTACTTACTGTCCTCGATTATTCCCTTATCCCGTCTCATCCGCGTCCTGCCTCGTCCTTAGTAATGAACATTCGAATTACAGTTTCAAAGCGATCCGATGAAAGAACCATTAGAATCCGAGCCGCTTCGAATAGGATTTGAAACGCTCTCTAACTCTGGAATATTTTGAAAGTCTCGAAGTCGAGGAGACTAAGAGATTCGAGAGATCGTAGGGGTATCGGAGTCTCCTCTCGAATGTGGCGAAACGCGTTCCGCGCGTCGCGGGTGAGCTGGCCGGAAGTGTTTCGCGTTGATCCCCGGCGAACGCGGGCCGAGGGACGGCGAACATCGGGGAAGAGCGAAAAACGAGCGGGCAGCCTTTCATTTGCGAGCAGGTTAATTAGCGAGCCATCTCGCCCGTCTTATTTGTAATTTATACGCGGTAGAATGCGGCCCATTGACGCGCGTCGCCCGCGATCCTGCTCGTTCTCCGATTTAGCGCGCACGTAAACGCGAGTGCTTGCCAGAATGCCGGGGAATCGAGCGAGTTATCCCGGCCTCTGCTCTCGTCGCGGCTACGCGACGCTCCGGACCGCATCGTTTCGCTTTCGCGTCCGCTTCGTTCGCGTTCCGGCAACATTTTTGCGGATTCCAGGCGTGCCTGCTCTCGTTCTCCCCTTTCCCGTTCGACCGGGACCGTTTCGAAAAAGCGTCCTCGACTCGCGACGCCTATGAGCGGACGTAATAGCGCGGAGAAACAAAAGCGGGCTCGAGCGGCATGCCATCCCGTATAATTACGTTGTAATGACGTCTTCTCCCCTGGCAACCTACTCCCGCGACTTTCGTTCTTTCGCCGCGAGCTGCCTCCGTCTCGCGAGCCACGCCGAAGACGAAAAGGTAATTCTCTGAAATTTACCTTGATCACCTCCCTGAGGATGAAGCCTATGTGCTCCTCCCGCATCTTCTTGTCCATGGCTATCTGGCCGCGCACGAGATCCATCGCGGTGCCGCCGTCGCAGAGCTGGAAACCGGAAAATCGACGGAAAAGTTATTCGTTCCGCGGCGGTCGTAGAATTTCGAGCGACGCTCGCGACCCGCCTCAGAGCAGTGCAGCGACGTCTCGCGCGGGGATTGCGGAAGCAATTCGAATCGACGTCTCGCCACGGAATTTCATTGGACGTAATTGCCCGGCCGGCCGGCCGGCCGACGTCTCGGTTCTGATTTTAACGTGCCCCGGGACACGCGCTGCTCTCCCCGTAACGCTCGCTGCCCTGTAATTTCGCGGGGATCTCGCGCGCTCGCGTTTCTATAATTTCAATTATGCCCGTCGATTCTTATAGATTCATTTCGACTCGATTTCACGGCGAAGAATTCCCGGCCGATGGCGCGCGGTCGTTCGGCGCGAGCTTCGAGCGGGCTGCGCCGCGCCGCGCCGCTCCGGCACGCGATGCATTCTTTCTACCGGCGCAACGATCGCAACACGAAAACTCGGCTCTACTACTGCCGGGCCCGTTTGTGTACGTGCCCGTAAAATTCGGCCGTGATGCGATATGGAAGACGGTCGCCGATAAATCTTCGCCACATTGTCGTTGCGTGTCGTTCCTCTTTTTCGACCCGTACCCGGGCCCCGTTTCTTCCAGTTTGGTCTCGCGCCGGTGAACCTTTACGAGCTTTTTACTCGAGCCGATCGACTCGCAAAATTCTCCCGATACATCCTCTTATTGTACACCTGTTTTTCTACCGCGCCCCCTTCTCGGCCGATCCTCGCAGCGCGCGAGCGCGCGCGGACGGGCGAAACGTTCGGTATCCGATTCGCCGGCCGATCCACCGACATCTTTAATCTCCGAGCGGCCCCGCCGTTCGTTTGCGCGACTTATATCTTTTTAATTGGCGTCGCGCTCGGTCGGATCCGACGACGAAACCGGAGATCCATCGATAATGGTATCGGCGCTCGTGTAGATCGGCGAGCGTGCACGCGTAAACGTTAAATCGAATATCGACGCTTTGCTCGAGATAAGTAATAATATTTCGTGCGCACCGCGGAGGTCCACCCGTAAATTAGGGCCGCGACGTGCCGGGGCTCACCTGCGTACACGAACGAGTTTAATGATTGTTTAATGGCCGCGCGTGTCGTAAATTATCCGTGTATTCGACCGTCTCAAATGCTTGAAATTGCCTCCGGGTCCTGGCATGGGTACGTACAGCAACTCTTCCCTCGCCGCTGCATTCGTTTTCTCTTTTTTCCCTTCTTTCTCCTCCTCCTCCTCCTCCTCCTCCTCTTCCTCCTCCTCCTGCGT